ACTATCCAAACTATAGATTTCTTCAATCCACATTAACTGCCCCTTAACTCCCCCCTCTCCATATGTAAGTTCGGGATGATCCTTCTCAAAACACTCGAATCCCTGAACAATACCTACGAGTTCCCAATGAATTCTTGACGAACTGAACCCAGAAGAATCCTTCTGAAGTTTTTTTCCGGGGTTCTCGCTAGACAAACCCTTGTTTTCGTTCGGAATATACTCTAGAAAATCAAATCTCGTACGAGGAGTATCTGTTAGAGAGATGTGTCAATCGAAACGCTTTAGATATGATAATCATCGAGAATGAATGAAAATAAAAATATTTATTTAACAACAACGATCCCATCACTTATGCCGTAGAGTTTATCCATTCTCATAACTTAACATAACATTGACAAATAACAAAATTACCATCTATGATAATTTGCATATAATATGATACATACACGCATACATACCGAATGCAATCAATTAAAAATTGCATATGATACATTCTATAGAAAAAGTTTCTTTTCCAATATTAAAATTCTCAAAACAATTCATAAAAACAACAACATCAGTACAATTCCACATGACTAATTCTTTGTGAAAATACGAAAATTCCATCAATCACCAAAATTTCGCATCAACATCAAAAAATATGGAAAGTCTCCGAAAAAACTCGCAAACATCAGATCAGTGAAATTCAAATTGAAACAACTGGGAATGAAAATTATGCTGCCGATTTTGCAGCGTTCCATTTTTCAGGTGTAAAAGTTTTAATGGTGAGCGCATGAATGGAGTTCATTTCCTCTTTTAAGGCCTCTTGTACTAGCCTGAAACAAAAATAACTATAGTGACTATTATTATACATTATCATTGCTAGTATTAAATTAATCATTATTACTATTATTATTATCACCATCAGAACATGCAATATGAATAGTCCTCAGATAAATCGTAATCTCATAATCCCAACGCCTTGATGACAAAAACAAACCGATGACATGCGAGTGTTGTTTTACCGGTGAATTTCTCAGAAACAATTTGAATTATATATTTCGCACCACATCCATCTGATTCATCTTCTACCTCCTGAAGGCACACTCTTCAATTCGGCATCCAAATAAGATTTCATAAGTCTTTCCTCTAAAATCCAACAACCCCAAAACTAATCCTAAAATCGAATCGCCTGCATCTCCTGAATATACCTCTGCACCCATACGTTGCCTTAAACTCCGGAATACCTTTCGCAGTATCTCCGATGTGCTCAAATTTCCGAAATCTTTCATCTATTCGATACTAACTTATCAAATCGCTCTCTCGAGCAAATCTAATCTTTCAATGTTGTGATCGATCAAAATCACAATCAAAATACCATAACGATTGCAAGATCATTCAATAGATCAATCGGTCAGAAACATGGATTGATCAACGAAACAATCGAAGATATTCAAATTTTATTGCTGATTCACGATCAGAGATTATCTAACAATGAGAATAATTCAAGTATTACAGAAAAGGGGTAACACAACTATAACTAACCAGATGTGTTGGGTTAAGGTACTCATTTAGTCTTTTTTCAACAATTTCCTGGGATACCATTTGTTAATGATTCTTGATGGTGCACGATGAGAGTGTGATGTGACCAGTTACTGCGATGTAATATTACCATTATGAGTGTTCATATTCATATCATTACTTGTATTACCAAACATTCACATCAAAGCGTATAACAATTGCAAATGGCTCTAATCCCTTCATAATCCCATTAATTCGCAATACTTTCGATCAACCATACTAATTATATTTTTATCTCAGCTACGGCTTTCTCATCACAATCAAAATAATCAAGGTACCTATTGGCTAATCCCACTAAGATCGTCCCCTCTTCGATAAATCTACCTCTCTTCTTTTATCTCGAATCTGAAATCCCAATCCCGATCTCCAACCGAGGATTCTGTTTCCAGTTGGTTCTCGATAGTCGCATATGTCAGATAAGAAATGTGCGTGAATGCCTCAACCCGAATGAGTGATACAGATAGATATTGATGCCTCGCAGGCATAACGAGTATTCTGGATTGATGTTTCAGCTCACAAAAATGAATCACCAACACAATTAATCATAATAAAAATTTATTCATTTAATTAATTGCTCTCAATATTTCAATAAACCAGATGTAGTTGTTGAATGAAATCAAATCAAATAATATAAAATGAAATAATCTTTCTCAGACGATAATCGCAAATAAAATCGCAAAAATGAACATTTTCACGTCGGATAATTGAATAACTAATCGCATAATCAATGATCAATAAATCAATCATTCGAAACGCAACAAAATCACACAAAACAACAATAAAATTTCAACATGAACGCGTCAACAAACAATCTCATAACATAACATGACACGCGTTTCTGAATGTGGGACGGTTTGGGAGTCTGAAATTTAACACTTGCTTAAGCAATAAGAACAAATAAGAAGTACGCTAAGTACAGTAAGCCATTTAAATTTCAACGGATGGATCAGAATATAATCTTTTGGATAGAAGAGGATTAAATGCCATTGGAGGCCGAAGACGACTGAAGAGGAGGGAGTAACGTAACGGGTTCGTAAAAGTCATGATCAGGAAAGGGAATCACAGAGAAACGACAACACACAAGTTTTGCATGGCGATTTATAATATTGTTAAATACATTTTAACAATACCCGCCAACCATCAAACAACAACGACTTCATTAAACCTAATTTCAGTGCGAAAGAAATTGAAATTTAATTGCGATTGAAGAGAGACGAGCTGGGACATTATATATCTAACGCATCGCATCAGCACTAAGCAAATGACAAATAATAACGAAACCTATTAAAACAGATTTTTTTTTCGAAATTTTCAGGCGAAAAATAAAAAATGAACAACAAATTCAACAAAACAATTTTGCTGACCATATCGCAGAGTTCGTTTCGTAAAAACTAAAACAAAATAAAAAAATTGGATGAAAAACCTAAAAAATTTGATCGTCGTCCAAATGAACGATCTAAAAAATTTCGTCCAAAATCTTCGATTCTCTTCATTCTCAAATCACTACCATCATCAAGGCTGAATAAATTTTCTCTAATTGATAAATCTGCACCTGAACAACTCCACTCACCCATTCAGCTAATCAACTAAACTTTAAAAAACCAAACCCAAGTCAACAATGTGATAACGAAACGACGCTCCATTACAACGAACCACCACAACAAGCAAAAACGACTCACTCACAACTCATAATAATATAACGTCGTCGATAACCATAATTTGAATTCCATCAAATAATATCCGCATCAAAAGAATCCTAACAAAACAAATCAATTAATTTCAACATAAAATACAAAACCAAAATTCGCTTTCGAAACATTCGAATAACACAATTAAGATGCTCTTTCTCGTTTGCGTGCATAAAATAAACCAAAAAACAAACACCACCCTAAAACACTTCACACAATCGCCGATATTCAACGCATCTCAACTCGAAATAACTCANAATATTCCGATCGACGACTCAAATCGAAATTCAAACTAAACGAAACAAACTGCATGGCGGCAGCACTAATAAAAACGTTTCAACCAATCAATCAACGAATGAATAATCAAACAAATAATATATAACTGAATAACAACGAGCAACGCATTTGCAATCCCAATCCTTTTTACTGAATTGTTCATAAAAGTTTCGCTGTGTTCACAAATATTGATGAATTTTGAAATAAAAACTTCCGCATCGCATTAAATCCGATCTGTTTTACAGATACGTCGATGAGGATGATGAAGATTGGGAATATCCATGTAATTCAGAATATCCGCATCTTCGATATGGCTCAGCAAATCCACCTAAATGTCTGCACCGAAGATATGTGCTTGACGTTTTTTCGTTTCCTCTTCTTCTCGTTGCTTGATCCTTTCAAGCTCTTCTGGATCCGTGGTGCGCGGTTTCAGCTGCAGACGCGGACGTCCTGGTTCTGAAAATTGCTCAGAACTGTTCAATCCCAATTGGTTTACCTCGACAGAAACCTCTTTCATTGGATTACAATCTTTGAAAATGTGACTGAAATTCTAAAACTTCGCACTATCTGTTCAAAAATTTTCACCAGTCTCAACAAAAAAAATTAAAAAATGAAACTAACCCGCTGGATGTGCGACGAATTCCTCTTCCGGCGGAGGAAATGAGCCACCCCCGGGTCCTCTCCTACTCCCACCACCTCGCATCATCCCTCCACGACCACCGCTGAACCCTCCTTGAGCACCACCTCGATCTGACCGATCTAACGACTGCCGTTCATAACTTGGCGGCCCTCCACGCCCTTCATCTACAAACACTAATATCATTATTAACAACAATCAAATATCAATCCTAATCACAATAACGATTACAACAAACCGAAATACCGCTGAAACATTACTAAATCACCATCAAAATCACCACTATAAAATTCGAAAACAACCTCTCAACAAACGAATGAACCCACCTCTAAATCCCCCTCCGCGACCTCCACCACGTCCCCCAAAACCTCCTCGATTCCCACTACGACCTCGAGGTGCGTCTGCTACATCTATACGCAGCACACGGTTATCGAACATCTGCAACTGATTTCATTACATCATCTCAAATAATCATCTCACTGTTTCATTCAACAATCCATCACTAATCACTACCCTATAATAACAATCATGTGCTCCTATTATCGATACTAATTAACCAAGCAATCACACCTAACATCTCCACAACAATATAACTAAAAACGAACAACACACAAACAAAAACCCATAATCAGTGAACAGTAACAATCAAAACTCACACATCCATCCAATTCCAGTGCGCGCTCTAAATCCTCGCGAGTGGCGAATTCCACATAAGCGAAACCCTTGAAACGATCCGACTCATGATCACGCATCATACGCGTTTCACGGATCTGAAACATCCAACATTTTCTTCATCCATTTCATAATTCAACATACTTACTCTTAACAAATTACTCTATACCGATATTTTATGAGGATTAAAATGAAGCGGACAAATTGCTACCGTTAAATCCTTGAAAATAGCATCGATATCCCCTTGCACACTATCGAACGGTAAATTCCCAACAAATGCCTTGTACGGGCCTTCTTCTGGAATCGGTTTGCGAGTGCGACCACTGCAATTCAAATATTTTTTCACACAGAAATCCAAACTTTTCTTGAGAAATNGAAAATTCAAAAGAAAAGAAAAAAAGATCTCACCGTGCCGCCATAATTGTAGATGTATGAGAATTGAGAGAAGTTTGAAGAAAATTCCTTAAAGAGAAACAATGTAAACTGTGCGATCAGATACGAACGTAGAGGTATTCAATGATATAAAACCGTCGCAAAAAACCACGAAAAATACACGTTTTCCAGTGGTGCACTTATTATGAAGTTAATTACACGTGTAGCAAGGAAAGTATAACGGAAAATATTTCAGATTGAAACGCTCTTTCAAGAACTGGTGAAACTTTCAACATTGCTCAGACAATAGAAATGAATAAACACCCAAAAGTATCATCTATTTCAAGGTAACACGTCATCAGAATGGCACGAAACTGAATGCACTGACAATGCACATAAAAATAATCAAACTAAACGCATTGAAGGTAAAAAATCACTGCAAATAATTTTTGACTTTCTTTCATTTCCCAATATAACAAGGCCGGATCTGAATAACCGAGCAGATAAACGCATCATTTGTGGATTCTTCTCAACACAACGAATGCTCATGAATCCTCTTTGAAAACTTCGTTTAGGAATATTTCACAAAGCATTCTTCCTTCGTAATAAGGTAAACATAATCCACAATCTCGACGATATTACACTACTTTGGAACTACAGAAGATGACGATTGGAGTAAAAATGAAATTCTCATTTTGATGTTATATGTGAGAATTGATACTGAGTTGTGTGGCAAATCGCTTCTGGGTTATCATATCCTATCGAGAATTAACGGAGTTGAGAATGTAAAGTGAAGGAATCAGTAGAGTATGGATTTTATTGAGGAGTATGGAATGAGAGTGAAT